ATTGGGATTTCTTCTTGGCTATTCAGTCACACAAGCTGTTAAAACAGTCCAAAAATTCTTGCCAGTGTTTACCAAAAGGGAGGGAACTGAAGATTTAACTGAAACACAAAAATCTAAAGGAAAACAACATGCAGATAAATCTACAGAGATTGGAGATAAAAACTTGGAAGATAGAGAGTTTAAATCCAGTTTGGAGAACAGAGACACTGACATCAACATACTCTTATCAACGGATTCATACAAGGTCACACACTACAAACAGTGCCCACCTAACACCAGTAAAGTATATTCCTACTTTGAATGTCGTGAAAAGAAAACAGAGCCTGCCACTGGCAGAAAAGTTAAATATGACACAACCGTATTTTATGGGCTTCAATATATCCTTCAAAAATACTTGACAGGAAAAGTAGTGACTCCAGAGAAGATTCAGGAGGCAAAGGAGTTATACAGAAAACATTTACAGCTTGATATTTTTAATGAGAAAGGCTGGAATTACATTTTGGAAAAACATAACGGACACCTGCCCATTGAAATCAAGGCCGTGCCAGAAGGAAGTGTGATTCCCAGAGGCAACGTTTTATTCACGGTGGAGAATACAGACCCTGAGTGCTACTGGCTCACCAACTGGGTGGAGACCATCTTGGTTCAGACCTGGTACCCCATCACTGTGGCGACTAACTCCAGAGAGCAAAAAATGATCCTTGCAAAGTACCTTCTAGAGACCTCTGGGAGCTTAGAGGGTCTGGAGTTTAAATTACACGACTTTGGCTACAGGGGTGTATCCTCACAAGAGAGTGCTGGCATTGGAGCCTCTGCCCATTTGGTTAATTTTAAAGGTACAGATACAGTCGCTGGGATTAGAGTCATCGAGAAGTACTATGGGACCAAGGACCCAGTTCCAGGCTACTCTATCCCAGCTGCTGAACACAGTACCATCACTTCATGGGGGAAGGACCATGAAAAGGACGCCTTTGAGCACATTGTTAAGCAGTTTCCCAATTTGCCAGTGTCCATAGTCAGTGACAGCTATGACATATATAATGCCTGTGAAAAGATCTGGGGAGAAGACTTGAAGGGGCTGATAGAGACCCGTGGTGCAGATGCCCCCCTGGTGGTTCGACCAGACTCAGGAAACCCACTTGCGACAGTTTTAAATGTCTTAGAGTTACTGGGTAAGAATTTTCATCCACAGTACAACTCCAAAGGTTATAAAGTTCTACCTCCTTACATCAGAATCATACAAGGAGATGGAGTTGATATCAACACACTGCAAGAGATAGGGGAGGGGATGAAGCAACACAAGTGGTCCTTAGAGAATATTGCATTTGGGTCCGGAGGAGCTTTATTGCAAAAACTGACCAGAGATCTGCTCAGCTGTGCATTCAAATGCAGCTATGTGGCCGTTAATGGACGGGGGGTCAATGTGTTCAAGGATCCGGTAGCAGACCCCAACAAGACATCAAGGAAAGGTCTCCTGTCTCTGCACCGTAAACCGAATGGAGAATTTATCACCCTGGAGGAGGGCAGGGGTGACTTGAAGGAGTATGGCGAGGACCTGTTGCAAACAGTTTTTAGGAACGGAAAGATTCTGAAACTGTACACATTTGATGAAATTAGAGACAACGCAAAGCTGAAAATGAGCCTTGAGTAATTTCAATTTTTAGCAATTTTGATGATGATGTTTCTTAGAATATATAATCTCCATGGCAACAGACACTTCAGCAGTGACATCATCAATGGCATCATCAGTCTGTTTCTTGAAAGTTTACACAAGCAAAGTGTAAACTTTAAACAGTTCAATCCTTCTGCAAGTTATCAGTAAGAGGCATTCAATGCTAGTGTGAATGCCTATTGCTGATATGAGCACAGGCCTTTAGTTGTGCTTTTTATTGTGTTTTAATCGTTGTTTTTATATCTGTGATCTGTTTTATTGTTTTTAATTTGCCTGCCTGCCTGCCTGCCTGCCTGCCTGCCTGCCTGCCTGCCTGCCTGCCTGCCTGCCTGCCTGCCTGCCTGCCTGCCTTCCTGGCAGAAGGT